CCCCTACGCCCCCGACTCCACCTCCCCCGACTCTTCCTCCCCCAGTCCCCCCTAAGGGAGAGGGGGAAAGGGCGGGGCTTGAGAGAACCCAGAAGGGAGATGTGGGGTGAGCTCTGGGCCCACCTCCCCCCTTTCACCAGATGCCACCCTCCCTGAACCCCCTGCCACTACCAGCTCCCTGGCTTCCCTGCCCCTTGGGAGCCCCTCCACACTCTTGTGCAGGGACTTGGGGGCCCCTGGAGCTCAGGGGTCAGGCTGCTTTGTGTGAGATTGTAGTTTTCCCGTCTCCTGGGGAGGGATCTTTGTTCTCCTCCAGGAATGGCCTCCGCGAGGGGCAGGGCCAGCCCCCATCCCTTCTTCAGCCCTTGGGGCAACTGAGCAATATACTTCTAGGAATCTCTACTCACGGCCCCCACCAGCTCTGAATGTCTAACCCACCCTCCTGATTCGTAAACCCGGGGGAGGGGGGGAACCATCTCTCTCGCCTAGTGACCTCCCCTCGTTGTGCAGCTTTCTCCAAGACCCTGCCTAGATGCTTCCTAGCACATTCCATTCTCTGTGGCCCAGGGCCTGGACCAGACCATTGTGATACCCGACACCCACCCATCTGGGAGCTTGGCTCCAGGTTCCATTCTTCCCAGGGGTGGGGTTCTGTGTCCCTGTTCCCTTCACGTTAAGACGCCATGCCTTCTTTGGCTTCCATGCCTTTGGATCTTCCACATTCCTCCTCATTCTCCTAGACTCTGGAGATGGCCTCTTCCCATCCAGGTCAAGGAGGTGTTGGGGGGAGGGCTACCCATCTGTTCCACGGCTGAGCACTTCCCCAGCCCAGGGCAGCACTAATCTCAGCCCTATCTTGACCCTCAAATCCAGTGAGCCCCAGATTCTTCTTCCAAGGCAAAGAGGTGAGTAGATCACACCTCTTCCTGCCTCTACCTATGGCCTCTTCTGGGCTAAATCAGATTTGGGGGCCAGGAGGGAGGAGCTCCCTATGGGATGGGGAAGAGAATCTACTTTCTCCCTGGTTTTTTGTTTTTTTTTCCTGATGGTTTCTCCCAGACTAGACCAAATAGCCAGAAAAGTGATGGGGGTTGGATGGGTGGGTAAGCCCAAGATTTGCACATGACCTCCCGTCCTTACTTTTACCTCCATGTTCCCCAGTGTCGCTTCCCTCACCATTCACTCCAGGTGGTTTTTGGGGAACCATCCTACTCCCTTGGTGGGCTCTGGGGTATCCCCACCAATTTTTCCTCCAAAATAGCACCTTATACCCCATCTTTGACTCAGTTCCCCACACCCAAAGATCCCAGCCTAGGGATGGGGTGCAGGGACCCGAAACAGTCCCTAATCCCTAATTTGCACTAGTTAACCCTGGTCAGGGGTCCGTATGTTTCCTTCCAGCGGGGGAGTTGAAGAAACGTTTGCTCCTAATTCTCTTTGATGACCGGGCGTCCCCACTCTGTGATTGGATGAACATTTCCCATCCCACCCACCTCCTCCCCCCCCCCCCCAAATAAAAACAGCTCACAAGGGGAGAGCCAGTTTGGGGGAGGAAATTTGACAAATGGGAATTACAGGAGTGCAGTTTAAAAAGGGGAAAGGCTGCCGTCACCTAAATGGCAGCTTTTTCCCAGCTACTGTTTTCTGGGGCCAAGATGGCCGCCCTCTCAACGATGCTGAAAGGGCAAGACCATGGCTTTTGGAGGGAGGTGAGCTCGAGGGAAGGACCAGGAGCATCTGACCCTCCTAGCATATAGGAAGGGGGAGGTTTCTGACAGGCTCCTGAATGTTAACCATGGAGGAGTATCACTCCTCCACTCCTCCTCTGTCTCTTTGCACTTTTCTTGGTCTTGGCCACAGTCCGAGTGAAGAGTTTCCTACTGAATGTACCAAGTTCCAATTTTTAAGGGGGAAAAATGCTTAAAATGGGAAAATGCAAAAAAAAAAAAAATCACTAAAAAATTCCCACAAATCTTGTTTCTGGCACTTTAGAAAAACTGCGAAAAAAGAACATAATAAAAAATACATATATATATCTACACACAAATTTTATATATATATCTACACACACATATATATATACACCTACACACACACACACACACACACACACACACACACACACACACATACACACAGCGGAACCACAAGAGAGACAGAAAGGCCTTGGAGGCAGGGAGCAGATGCTACAATTACTTCCCCTAGATCCTTAACCTGCACTCCTCTGAGGCAAAAAGGCACAGGAAATGGAAGGGGTTGAGGGTGGACCGGGCAATTCGAATTTCAGAACAGGTCAAAATTCCAAAACTGTGGACATTTTGGGAGAACTGAGATTGTAGACTTTTTTTTTTTTTTTTTTTTTTTTTTTTTTAAATGACGATTTAGGAAAATAGTTTCCAGAATGTGGTCGTTCTGGGCAATCAATGAGATTGTGGCAAAATCGGAGATTAAAAATATGTATCTGAGCTGGGGAACCTGAATATTGTGAATTTCAGAGGTTGGAAATTTGGGATTTTGCAATCTCGTCTTTTGAAAATCATTCGGGTCTTGTCAGTTTGTGCCCTCTTTCCCCATGCTCCCTGGGAAGAGGGGTGACGGAGGAATGGGAAGGCCACTGGTTCTGTGCCACAGCACGCAAGGTTTAGAATTCTACAGACTATAGCTCTATATGTAGTGAGGACCCAGATTTAGAGAAACTGACCAATATTTATCTCCGCATCTGTGTGTGTGTCCAACTCTCTAGGCCAATAAACCAACAAGACAAACAAACTGTCCTCCTCAGTAGTACGCCAAGCGCACTTGTTTTCGTGGCTGGTGGGTCGGCCGGACAGGGACACGCTTGCCCTGTCCCACAGGGATCCTGGGAGCTGCAGCTGTAGCATCCCTCTTGGGGCCACAGCTTCCAGCAACCGAGGAGGCGTGAGGGCCTGGCGACCCTACATGCTTCACCATAATGGCCGCAGCCACCAGGCTCAAGCTGACTTTGGTCTGACCTCCAGGCAGAAAGAAACATGAACTCAGTCCAGTTCACACAGCCTGCTGGGCACAAGATCCTAGTGGCCCATGCGCCTTAAACCAGGTGCAACCCTGTCTCCAAATTGAAAGGAAACCGACGCACAAAACAAGTGACAGTCATGGGATACGGCAAGCTTTCTTTTTCCACTCCTAGCCCCCCACTACCTTCAGCTCCTCATCCCCCCCCCCTCCCCTTTACTTTGTCTAATGGGACAGGCAAGTAAAATGAGGGAAGTCGTGGGTCAGGTGGGTGGGGGCTTTGAAGAATTCTGGTACAAATAACCTTGACCAGACCAGGCAGCCACTACCCCTCAGGTCGCTGCCAACAGGGGAGTCAGGCCTGGTGTCACCGTATTTTTAATTTCCCTCCCCCAAGGGAAGCCGGACATCCAAATTTCTCTGTGCGCTATCCAAACTTTTAAAGTAGTGAACTCACACTGAAACCTGTGAGGTCAACAACACAGGTCAGACAAAACACACCAGTTGGCAACCTCTGATGTCTGCTGTATCGTGCGTTTGCTCCCATCTTGTCACATGACCCTCAGACTAAGGGAGTAGGTCCTGTCATTCGCCTCATTTTACAGATGTGGAAACTTAGGCCCAGAGCAGTTCAATAGCTTAGCTTATCCAAAGTTTGAGCACCGAAGCTGAAACCTGAAGGAAGGATTTTAAAGGGCTCTTTCTCCCCCCCTTATTACAAATGCATCCTTTTAGACATAACCTTTTTTTTTTTATCCTAAAGATAATACTTATTACAAAAAAATAAATTACAGAAAGGTGAAAACAAAGATCACTAGTCTCAACATGCAAACATAAGCACTATTATTTGGTGCATTTCCTTCCAGGAAAAAACAACAACAACAACAACAACAACAACAAAACCCCTATTCACTCAACAGACGTTAAGCACCTACAATCCTATAGGTCAGGACCTGTGCTAGGAGCTGGGGATATTACAGTGAACGAGGCACAGTTCCTGCCCTCAAAAGGCTTACAGTCTAGTTCTTGTTCTTTGTTCCATTATACTGGGAAGCTAGTGTTGCTATCCAAAGGAACTTCTACAAGAAACCAAAGACTAAATAAACTGATAGTGCATGTCTATTGGGGCCCAAGGCTTCAGTCGGCCCCGTCCCACTTCGGCTCGCTCCCCATAAAGGCAATGACCTGGGAGGGCCGGATTCCTAGTGGAGTCGAGAGGCAGAAAGGGATAGGACTCGAGAGTACCGCCGGACTCTCAATGCAGCCCGCAGAGGACCTGGGTCTTGGCCCTCTGTCCTCAAGGAAAGGGGTCGGCAGGGGGCAAGTGGTACGAGGCATCCAGGAAGATGACGAGGGTCCCAACGCTCGTGAAGATGATGAAGGTCCAGAGGAAAAGGCGATCCACTACCATGGCCACAAATTGCCAGTCTTCCTTCAGCTGGGGGTAGGCAGAGTAAACTGTTCCTGAGCTGCAGACCCCCAGGGAAGGTCTGCCCGCTACCCTTACCCTGTCCTACGAGCTCTGAGACAGGGGCGGGCCGTGGGACAGAGGAAAGCGAAACTGCGGGAGATGGATGGAGTGAAGAGCCAGTCGGAAAACAGGGGGCGGAACCAAAGGAGGCAAGCTTCCAATCAGAAACCAAACCGAGTGCTAGGGGCGGAGCCTGGATTGGCGGGTGGAGCCAAGGCCACCCAGGCCCTGCCCTGCTCCACCCTCATTGGACTTACCGCGTCGTGGTCCTCCTGTTCCTGCAGCTGTCGAGCGATGTAGCTGATCGAGGAAACGACCTCCCGCAGCTCGGGAGGCAGGCCCACAGCCCGGTTTGGGCCATCGATAAATCGCCGCAGGTCCGGGGCAGACAGTTCAGGCTGGAACCTGGAAGAGGCGGGACAGTTTGGCCACGCTCTAGGCTCCATCCCAATTCCCTCCTCCAACATTCTTGTCAGTTTTCGAAACGTGAGAGGGCCCTCTAGGCTCTCCCCGTCAGCGACGACCTCTCCAGTCTTCCGCAATTCCTCCCATCCCTCTACGCTTTAGTTTCCGCCTTTCCGCAAAGTAGGCGGCAGAAGGGGTACTACACTTCCCATGATGCTCAAGGGCATCTTCCGGGACCTTAAGCCGCCTGCCTCTGCACAGCCTTCTGGGAACGGTAGTTCACGCTCTCCCTTCCTTGTAGGCGACGGAGAGTAGGTACTACCTGTTGGGTTTGGGGAAGAGAAAATCGTTCGGTGGCTTCCGGATGAAATATTCATCTGTTCCTCGACCCCAGCCACTTGCTGGAGAGTCCCTGAGGGCTACAGGAGGTGGCTCCGGCATCAGGTCTCTCTCAGGTTTGGGTCTCTTCAGACCCAGGTATGGAGGGAGTTTGTGGATGAAGATCTGCTGAGTAGAAAGGCATATTGGTCGTGGGGGGCTGGGGGGGGGGGGGCTCTCATGCTTTCAGACGGGAAGGGAAGTAGCTCACCGTCCCCAACCACCTGCCCATCCCTGCGCATGCGTGCGCGCGTCCCCCAGCTGCACAGCGAGGAAGTGCAACCACACGGCCTTAACTTAAGTGGGTTGGAGGCATCCTGTCCCGAAAACAAAGTTCCGAAGGCTTCCACCCTGACAGGACCTGAGCCCGAGGATGTTTCCCTGCGACCCAGGGATGGGCAGTATTGATGAAGCCAATAAGGGGATCTAGGACATGATAATGTCAGGAGGGTAAAGTTGACTGTGCAACCTTTCAACACCCAACTGGCCTTGGCACTTGGAACACTCTACCAGGGGTTGTAGTTATCGCTCAGGTCTGTGAAGTTGGTAGGAGAGAGGAGTGGCACCTGCACAAAAAGACGAATGCTAGGACTGAGAGTTAACACTGGTTGGAGAGGGACATCTTACCTGACGGACCCAAATGGGCATTTGGTGGGTGTGGGGTGAGCGATGGTGCAGGTTGAGGACTACGACGCTAAGGATGACTGAGAAAGTGACGAGCACCATGGTGAACATGAGGTACTTGATAATGATGGGGACAGACAGGGAGGTCTCAGGAACTTTGTCTGCCAGCAGCAGCAGGAACACAGTCAGGGTCAGCAGGGCAAAGATCGAGAGCCCCATCTTCTCTCCTTGCGGGGCAGAGAGGAAGGTGGAAGGATTAGGCTTTGCCAGAAGGCGATTTCCATGGCATAATCAGTGACCATGTCTCCAGGCCACTCAAGGACAGGCTTTTGGAAGGGCCAACTGCAGGCAGATGAGTCCTACAACGATAACCTCCAGCTCGGACTTACTCTCCTAACACTCCAGATTTATAGCCACCTGCCGATTTAACTTCTCCACCTGGATGTCCAAGAGACATCTCAAAATTAACCTGTCCAAAACCTAATCCCTCGACCACCAACCCCTCCCACAGCCTTTCCCACTTCAGAAGTGACAAATCCATCATTTCTGTGGCTCTCAGTCCTGCTCAACTCTCCTCCCTCTCTCTTAACCCATACCCAATCCATAGCAAACCCTACTGGTTTTCCTTTCAAAATATAACCATACAAAGTACCATTACCTCAGGTCTGAGTTATTATAAAGACCTCCTCGGGGCGCCTGGGTGGCTCAGTTGGTTAAGCGTGCGACTTCTGCTCAGGTCATGATCTTACGGTTGGTGGGTTCGAGCCCCACCTGGGGCTCTCTGCTGTCAGCCCAGAGCCCGCTTCAGATCCTCTGTACCCGCCGCCCCCACCCCCGATCTCTGCTCCTCCCCCACTCACACGCACTGTTTCTCTCTCCTCAAAAATAAATAAACATTAAAAAATAAAGAAATTTTAAAAAAATAGAACGCTTCCTCTCTGCTTCATTGTCTTTACCCCTGCTGACTGTTCTCAACAGAGCAGCCAGACTGATCCTGTTAAAATGGAAATCAGATACATCCCTTTCCTTCTCAGAACCTTTCAGTGGCTTCTCATCTTCTTCGGCATAAAAGCCAAAGTGTTTAGTATGGTTGACAAGGCCTTCTGCTAACTCTCTGACTTTATCTCCTACTGTTTTCCTTCTCGCTTACTTCATTCAGTCATCCTGGCTACTTCTCGAATACACAAGGCTCACTCCCACTCCAGAGTCCGCATTCACTGCTAACTGCACCTGATACATTCTTCCCCCCAGATATCTGCCAGGGAACATTCTCTCAACCCCTTCACTCTTTGTTCAAATACTGATCCAATATTTCCTTTTTAGTGAGGCACTGGCTGACCGTTCTATTCCTTAAGATTTTATTTTATTTATTTTTTAGACAGAGAGATAGAGATAGCACGAGCAGGGAAGAGACAGAGACAGAGACAGAGAGAGAGAGAGAGAGAGAGAGAGGGAGAGGGAGAGAGAGAGAGGGAGGGAGAAAATCGTAAGCAGGCTCCATGCTCAGCACCAAGAGCCCGCCATGGGGCTTGATCCCATGACCCTGGGATCATGACCTGAGCTGAAATCAAGAGGTGGTCCCTCATCTGACTGAGCCACCAAGGCGCCCCTTAAGATTTTAAGTAATCTCTACACCCCCCATGGGGTTTGAACTCACAACCCTGAGATCAAGAGTCACGTGCTATACCGACCGAGCCAGCCAGGCACCCCTGACCATTCTAGTTTAAATTACAACCCCTGCCCCTATTCTCATCCTCCCTAACCGCTTTTCCTACTTTATTTTCCTCTTTAGGACTTGTCCTCTCCCAGTATACACCCTAATAGATTTATTTATTTTGGTTGTTGGCTGTTTCCCCCACTAGACCATAAACTCCAGGAGGGCAGAGATTTTTGTCTCTTTTATTCACTGAGGTAGCCCCAGTGCCTCGCACGTTATAGATGCTCAACAAATATCATTGCACGAATGAATAGACCAACCCTTGTAGCTTTTTTAAGGAACTAAATAGCAATTTGAAGGATCTAAAAATGAAACAAAGTATATAAGGATGTGCCAGGTGGCTGATTATTCTCGGGGCATACAACAGGCACCTCAAACTTCAAGGAAGGTATGGAAATAAATAACTTTTATGGTCTGTTCTACTTTAGTCCTATAATATTGGGTTCCAAGATTTGCCCTGCTCAGGGAGGAAGTAGAAGTTACATTTGGAAGTGTGTTCTAGAGCTGGATCATTCTCCTTCTCTAGACGGAGAACTCAATGCCAGAGAGAAGGAAAGAGTGCTTTAAATACCAGAGTTGAGGATTTCTGTCTGTGAATCAGGCTGGCACCAACTCTCTCTGACTGCCTAATGTCGGGCAAATGCCTTAAACTCTCTCAGCCTCTTTGTCTTCCTCCGTAAAATGGGAAGACAGTTCAGTACTTATCTCACGGAGTTGTAAAGATTAGAATTGAGTTAATATTTGCAACGTGTTCATTATACTACTTCTAGCAAGGCTCAAAAATAGTAAAAATAATACTAATGCTTACACAGAACTTACTTGGTGCCGGGCACGGTTCTATTAACTCAATTCATCCTCAGAATAATCCTATCAGGTCGAGACAACAATTGTCCCCATTTCCAGATCAGGAAATTGAGACACAGAGAGAGGAAAGAATTTGCCCAAGGTTACTCTGCTGCCTCCTAGAGAAATGTCACTATTGTTTCGAAGGGGGATAGGAGGCCAAGGGACTAGTAGGTGTCTGGAAAAGAGGGGAGTGAGCTGGGGAGGATACCAGGAATGGGAGAAGGATAAAGGAGAATTGTCTAATCCCAGGAGCTTGTTGGTCCCAAGAAGGAGATCCTAGGATTCTGAAAGGGAAGAGGCAGAAGTTACTGGATGGAGAGAAGTGGGGAGGTTGGCAGGGCCCTTCCCTCCCTTACCTGCATCTGGAGGCAGGTAGAAGACGAAGATGGCCAGGAGAGTGATGAGGATGCACGGGGCAATGACATTGACCAGGTAGAAGAGAGGCTTCCGACGAATGATGAGGTAGAAGGTGACTTCTTCCCGCTGTCCTTCCCCGCCTCCCCTCACATCCGCCGGAGGCTGGATTAGCCGAGAAGGCTTGTGGATAATTTCCCATTGGCCATTCTCTGGGAGGAAGGAGAGGGGAAGAGAGAAGAACAGGACACAGATGTAGGACCTGACCTTACCGGTGCCAGATACGGCTTGATCTGCCACATCCTAACCCTCAGGTGGCTGCTGTGATAAGGGCTAGCTGTGGACATCAGGCTGGGCAGCCCATCTCTGATAAACGTGAACAAGTCTCAGTTTTCCATATCTGCGAAACTTGTCTTGCTGACCCCACAGGGCTGTCCCGGGCATTGCTGATGGGGGGTGGGGAGGTGGAGAGGGGGCGGTATTTATCAGCCTGTTAGAAACCGGAAAGCATAAAGGCCATGGACGTGGGAGCCATGCCCGCTCACCAATGAAGGTCCCTTCATGAATGTACACTTCCTGCCGTTTCTGCTCGTCAGGACCCAACGCGGTCTGCAGGCTGACCTCTGAGCTGTCATAGCTGTAAGAACTGAACACCATGGTGCAGTTCTGCCAGTCGAAGGGGAAGTAGGTGACCTGGATGGGGGGAGAGGGGGA